GGGAAATTTGTAATTGTATTTCTCAGTGAGTAATTGTACATGTACAAAGATGTATTTATAATACAAGAAGGTAAAGAAGAAATAGGAAAGAATATACATGAGGATGTTTTTCCTATTCTATTGTCCGAACATTCCAATCTTGAGGATTGACTGAATCTGTGATTAGAATCATATCAAAGATCAAATCGGATAGAATCAAATCCTTTCTCCAACAGCCAGGCCTCGTGGTCAATTCAGTCCCCGTCGCGTTTTGCCCTGAATTCGCGACCGCTCTCGAATCATTCGTTCTTCGGCCTTGGGCCAGTTTCTTATCACTAATGTGCTGCCAAAGTTTTGGTCATTGGTCCAGGTTCTAACTTTGTTACTTTCCCTTTCCTTCCTCGCTGACCATTGAACAAGCCCAAGGGGCTTTTTGCTTTGGACTTTCGTTTATGGATTTTGTTAATTTAAATACCTAAGTAAATTGTAAATCGCAATGCTTTTTTTTTCCATTAAATATGATTAACGAGCCTCTTGAGACACTCGTTAACAAAACCCTTCATTTAATCTCCATCGCTTCTTGTATTCGGATTTGTCTCGATAAGTTAATGGCCAATAATGCCGTACTAATCAAAGGTGAAGAAATTAATTAGTCATTCAACTTGGGGCATTTTTTGCATAGGCCTCACTTCATCTCATTTTGTGATGCAATGGTTCATGCGCGCACAATGCGCGTGAAAAATGTTTCAGTTAGTGTGATCGATTATTTTCGTTCTCCTCATTAACATTTTTAATGATGTATGTAAGGAAACCATTTCTTCTATCTCCTATTTTTTCTCAACTTCAGTTGTCCTGATATTATGGGATTGTAATAGTAAGATTGCGTAAGTCACATTTACCCTCAACTACTTCACGAAGTTGGGGCATATTTGATTTGACTTTTACTTTTACATTTACTTACTCAAAAATTTGCAAGTTACACACTTTAACTTTCTTAAATTAGGAACACTTGAAATTTCACAAAATACAAACGTTAACGCATAAATCTCATATATTTTCATAATTTTTTTGAAATTCGAATAACATGTTAAATGTTGGCTGGATTTGCTTTTACTTAAACTGAAACAAACACGGCATTAGACTTAATATTAGATGGGAGGCTATGATGCTGGGAATAGATACTAAAATTTAAAAGTTGGCTTTATATATATAGTATAGATAGATTATAATGGGACAATAATAATAAAAGTTTCGACATAATCATGAGTAAACTAGTCGAATGAGAAGACAGAAGAGAAATTGAGCCAAGAAAATTTTGGATGTGGACCACGGAGAAAGAGAGTGAGATTGTTGGCTGGACAATATATAATCGTAAGATGCTGGGGGTTTTGCTCGTTTGAAGAGGGAAGAATAGACAGCTATCACTTATGTAGAAATTCAAATGTAGTCTTTGAAATTTGCCTGTAAAACTATAGCATAAAGAGACGGGCATCTGGATTTACCAAACTCTAACTCTAATTGAAATCAATTGAACAATTTTATTATTCTTTTCTAACATCACCTAAAAATTGAAAAAGAAAGAAAGAAAGAAAGGAACTCTTGTGAGAGCACAACAGAAACAAATCAATTTGTCAGATGATTAAGAAAAAGTTGCATTTTTGGCCCAAAAGAGATGTCAAAAGTAGCCCCAGAAAAATTGTGAAAGTAGCCCAAGAGGAGTGGCCTATGGACAAGAGGTACATCCTCATTCCTGACCTCAACAATAAGCGAGAGACGTATGTCCAAAAACATTTCAATGGGCCCAAGAATTGTGATCCAAAAAGAAATTTGTTGAAAACTTTTCGAGTTCGATTTCTGAAGTTCACATTTGCTTTACATTTTGTTGGTTCTTGACTACCTATTTCCAGGAAGTAATACTGGATATTCAAAGTGGAAGTGACGGAGAAGAACAAGCCTCTTCTTCAAACTCAAATCCAAAGGAGATGGGTGAAGGCAATGGAGTTAAGGGAAACCTGCAGAAATAGAGCAGCCCTCTAAAAGCGTAATACTGGAGATTCAAAGTGGAAGTGAGGATAAACAAGCCCCTTCTTCATAATGTTTTAGATTACATTTGCCAATTCGAATGCAATTGTTTGGAATTTGCTTTTACATACAATAATATTCAGCAATTATTTTTTTGTTGCAGCAATCTAGGGAGAAACAGATGCCATCATTGGATGACGGCAAAGCAAAATCGGGGAAGCGACGTGCCCAGCCCAAAAAAAGAAAACACGGCGAGAAAGAGGCGTCAATGTTGACATTGAACGTTAAACAAGTAGATCGGTTCGGTCTCGTATATATAATTTGCTTGACATCAACAATGGTACTGGTTATATTCGGCAAGCTCTTCCGATCAAAGAGGCTGATGAAGTGGGGAGGTCATTTGACTAGGATAACCACTGTGCTTACGGTAGTAGTGGTTGTTGTTAGCAGTTTTGGACAAGAGGAAGTGATGTTCAAACTCCGGTTTAGGGTCAATTTGATGGTTTAAATTTCAGTTCTAAACATGTGCAATTGATGAGAGTGCACGAGGGAATCACATGGTCAAACATCTCTTGACAAATGTCATGGGCCGACACTTGAAATCGAGACCGTGCGGCACTTCGATCGCTCGCTCACTTACTCACTCAGATTGTAGAAAGAGTGTGTTTAGAGAGAAGTTTTGCGAGAGACTGTACTTCTATTGCTCAATTGTTGAATGATACAAATGAAGAGGAGAGTACCCTCATTTCTACATGAGACCTCCCAATTATAGCCGTTGGATTTCATCTTAATTTAATGGTGGAGATCTAATTATAAGAAATATCTAGAATACATTTCCCATATTACCCCTACGAATATCTATGCTTCTAGAAATATCTAGATATTATTTCTAGAAACTATCTCCTAGAAATATCTAAACGTGTACATTTCCTATATTGTCCTTGAAAATATCCAGAGTTATGGGCCTGTAGAAGTTTCAAGGCTTTAGTTTGGGCTGATGGGCTATCCCTTTGATTTATTGTGCTTATAATTTTCTTGGTCCGTGGCACAAAGCTATTCTTTGCTACTTTAAGGACTCGTTTAGTGACGTTTCTATTTTTCTGTTCTTTTGTTCCTCGGAATAGAAAAGAACAGAAATCCGTTTGGTAACGTCAATTAATTTTTGGGAGAATGACATAAACAGTCCCTGAACTTTGGTCCAAAGTGTAATTTGATCCTTGAACTTTTACTTTGTTCAATATAGTTCCTGAACTTTAGCCTAATATTCAATATGCTCCTTAAACTTATAATTTGTTCAATGTGGTCCCTGAATTTTTTGTACATGTTTAATGTAGTCCCTGAACTATACAAAAATGTTCAAAATAGTCCTTGAATTTAAATTAATGGAAGAACTCAATTGAACATTTTTATATAGTTCAAGGACTAAATCAAACATGTATAAAAAGTTCAGGGATGACATTGAACAAATTATAAGTTCATGGACCACACTGCACATTAAGTTAAAGTTCAAAGACTACATAGAACAAATTAAAAGTTTATGGACCAAATTGCACATTTGGCCAAAGTTCAAGGATTGTTTGTGTTATTTTCCCTTAATTTTTTTGTTCCCTAAAACATAAAAGTAAATAAGGAATAGATTTGGAACAGAAATAAGAAGTAAAAAAAATCTACTTCTTGTTCTCAGGAACAAAAAGAGAAACAAAATCAGCACTCTCTTTCAATTGATATTCTCATACTAAATCCTAAACCCCAAACCCCTAACTTCCACCTTAAAACTCTAAACCCCAAAATCCTAAAACCCTAAACCCCAAAATCCTAATCCCTAAATCCTACACCCCAAAACCCAAAATCCGAAACTTTAAAACCCCAACCCCAAACCCTAAAACTCCAAACTCAAAACCCTAAAACCCTAAACTACAAGGCCCTGAACCATAAACTATAAACCCCAAACCCTAAAACCCTAAACCCTATACCCAAACCCCAACATCCAAAACCCGAATCCATAAAACCCCAACACCCCAAACCTTAAACTTAAAACACTAAACCCAAAACCCAAAACCTGAAACCCTAAAACCATAAATCCGAAACCCTAAACCCCAAACCCGAAATCCTAAAATCCTATCCCCAAATCCCAAACCTTAAAACCCTAAACTACAATTTCCTCAACCAACACCCGGTATTTGCTTTGTCTATAAGGAGTAATTTTCTTTATGATTGTATTAAGGTCATCCAATTCTATATCATAATATATTTTGATTCTATTGCTAGTCTAGTTTTATCTAAATATGAATTATTAAGTTTCCACTGACATTTTTATAATTAAATGAAAAAATTGAGAGTAGAAATTTTTAGAGTCGTACCAAACGTATTTCTATTCTTTTTTCTATTCCAGGAATAGAAATTTTGTGTAGTTACTAAATGCGTTCTTGTGCTTAGAAACTCGTCTAAAGAATAGAAATAGAAAAAACTATTTCTAAACAGAAATTGTTCATGGAAACAGAAACGTTACCAAACAGACCCTAAGTGTATGGGCAGACATCTTTGTTCATCCAAATTGTGGTGGTAATGTAAAATATCACCACAAGCAATTCGTATGTGAATGGAATTGGTTTTCGCGACAATGTATGGATTTGCATTGTTACCTTTGATATGTGGGACATCGTTACTCTTACCCTATGCAGCTTGTTCATTTGGATATATCCCTTGTTCTCTGTTTATGTTCCTCTTGATGCAAAGCAATTTTTTTGGATTTTGCCATACTTTTAGGTGAAGGGTGTAATGAATAGGTTGGTATTGTACTAGAAAACACGTAGGACAGTGAAACAGACTATATGAATCTGGATCATGCTTGTGGCCAAAATATTAGCGGGGAAGATGTTGATATTATAGAAGAAGGGGGTGAGTAAGCAAGTGCTGACAGGACGATTACTTTGCTAGCATCCAAAGACTAGCCAATGCTACCATCAACACAGTGGTTATCCTAGTCAAATGACCTCCCCACGTCATGAACCTCCTCGATTGGAAGAACTTGCCTAATATAACCATACCATTGTCGAAATCAAGCAAATTATGTAAACGAGACTGAACCGATCCAGGTGTTTATTCCTATCAATCCAAAAAAAGCCCACTGAAGTAGTCCCTAATGCCCTGACATTCAATGTCAACATCTTCGCCCCTTTCTCGCCACGTTTTCTTTTCTGGGGGCTGGGCGCGTCGCTTCCTCTATCTTTGCTTCGTCCAAATCAAATTGTATGCTTTCACCATTGTAGTGCTCCACAAGCTGGTACAAATGCCTCTAATTTTCAATTTCAATTCCGTTCACCTTCCTCACCTGTCAACCACAACATAAGAGTAATAGTTAATTACTCAAGTTTCACAAAAACAGGACAACTTCCTAGTGGAGAAAAACCAGCGGCCAGAACCCACTGAGATCAGATGCAAATTGGCTTAAAATTGATACCCGGGAGCATTTTGTAAGTTAGCCAGGCTAAAAATTGACAGCATTGACTTTCTTCGTAATGCTTGTTTTGATTTTCCTTTCTACCTTCTTTTTTTCCAATTGGTCGGTAGTACTATTAAAATGGCGAGATTGATTGTACGCGTTACAAAGAAACCATAACCATTGAATTCTACCCTTCCAATTTCTTGAAGTGACCGCAGGAAATTTCCTCTGTTTTTTAAAACACAAGTTCAATAATGAAATTCATCCATCCCACGATGCAGGTACCTGTAATTCTGCAAGACGTTCGTGCCCTGCATTGACGTCATCCATCAGGACCTGTAGCAGTCAGCACTTGTTAGTAATCAAATATAGCTTTTAGATTTACCTTTCTAGTCTTCTTTCATGTCCTATAATAATCTTAACAGATTCAGTTTTTGGGACATTATAATAGTTTGAGATATCTGGCTGTTCCCTGCACTGCCACCTCTTGCACATGATGAGGAAGAGCATGGTTCCCAACCGATATTAGATCTTGCAGTCACAATGACCAAGTGGCTTCTCATATCACTTACAACATTCCTTAAGTTCAGCATACACATCCCTCATAGCTTTTAATCAAACACAGGTTATCGATCATCCTATCTAACAAAAACTTACTGCTGATAAAAGAAGTCAACAGCCTCTAGTAGAATGTGGAAGAAAACAAACCTGTGAAAGAATAACGAGTTGTTCGCCAGCATTTTTTGGAAGCTCCCTTGGTGCACGTTCACACAACCGCCGAGATGATGTGTTATACCAGTCTTCACCATATTCGTGAAGGTAGGTTGGGTGAGTGGAACGAATATCAGACCCGCATATATGTAATAACTTGGAAGCTTGTCAAACTGATGTACTGGAACTAACTGTTGCAACTGCGAAATCAACATATACATAGTACACAAAAAGCTGGTTACTGTAGGGGCTACTGACTACATCCATCATTGCTCCATGCTATGCAGTTAGAATGGGCTCATGTGACATGCAAAGAATGACACAATTATCCCGTGAGGGCGAGCCTTAGAGGGGAGCAGGTTATTTTGATCATTCTTATGCTCTACTTCAGTTAGAGATCGATGAAGTTAAATCCAAGAAGTCTTTCAAGTACTTCTGGACAGATCATGAGTAGAAAGAAATTTTGCATTCTGGTTGGAATAAAATGGTGACTGACTATCCAATGTGTTGCTCATTTCTCATTTAATAAGAGGTTTTTTTGGTGCTTTGCCTGAGAAAGTGGAAATAAAAAAACTTGAGCTTGCTGCTGTCCAGCATGCTCTTAGGAGTAATCACTCTGAGAGATTAACTGAGAAAGAGCAGAAAATCAGACTTGAATTGGGGCATCTGCAGCAAGCTGAGGACGCTTTCTATAAACCAAAATCTAGAAATACCTGACCAAAGCTTGGTGATCCAAATGCTGGTTTTTCTCATCAATTGGTGAAAGTAACTTTGGGGAATGCTATTACATCTCCGGTGGCCAGTCATGGAAGTACTTATTAGAGTCATGATGAAATTGTGGCAGAACCTGCGGGCTGTTATTGAAGACTTATTGGGTGCTCCAGATGTTAGTTGCTCCAGTGGAATCATCTCTCAGCTGAAGGAAATGCTCGACTATCAACTTTCTGTTGATCTACAGGATCTCGTGGGTGCTCGTATTACAGCTGAGGAGAAAGCCTCTCTTTGGTCTGGTCCTAATGGGTATTCCTCTCATTTCTTTACACTTGATTATCACCATTCAATTATCCTCTGATCAGATCTAAAGTTAAGTAAGACGTCGGTCAAACTCAGTCGACCTTTTCAAAATCTTTGTAAAAACTAGGGTGTGTTCAGTGCTTTTGAACACACAATCACATAATATAGTAAGTAAAACATCACGCCTAATGATAGAAATGATTTAGAAAATGTGGATTGACCTATAACTACTGAATCGAATTTTCCCATTTAATTCAATCAGCTCATGTCCATACATCAATACGATACGAATTCTATATTTGTTGAATCATTGTCTTTTACAGCTGTATAGAGATAGCTATATAACTTAACGACCATTAAATTTAGGAAATTCGATCCCGTGCATGCTCGGGCTTTGTCACCGGCATGCAGTGTATAGTCCCAGCGTATGACTGACTGGTTCGCCATTACCAAGGAAGGATGTGTTGTTTAGTGGCTTATGTAACATAGTCATACTTTTCTTTCAATGAAAGTGTAAGAATTAAACTGCTGCCCAGGGCTCTATGCATGTTGTGTACAACTATAGTAATTTGACCATGTTCTCTTACTGTCATTACTAATGCGGCGGAACTTGACGGAAGCACGGCATCCAACCTCTGCTGAATCAGAAGAAATCTAACCGTACTTCCCGAGCTCAAGGGTCAACCGAAGAACTTCAAAAGAATGGATTTGATCTATTAGGCTCGTGCTATTTTCACCCTTCAAATAGTTTTAGATATATCTTATAATTTAAATGGACTAAAATAGCCTTCACTTAGACCTCATCAATGGTAAGATTGATGAAAAAGGAAAAATATACCTTTAATATAGATCAATCAATCTAATAATATTTATCAACATTTCCTAAACTCTTAGTTCTTCTTCTTTTGTGTTTAAATCGGATTTACATGTTGGTTGTTCTTTTACGAGAATCATCTAAGATGCAATTATTTTAATAAATTTAATGATTGAGATTCATATTTATAAAACATTAATAAAATACATTTTATTTACAATATCTCTATAGAGTTCAATCTGGAATAATTCGTTGTAGTAGACAATTCTTTATTTCAAGTTTCTCTTAGGGGAATTTTTTGGTTAAATTTGCGAGTTCTTTATGATTATAACTGATAAATAATATATTTTTAATTAATGAAGATTACCAACAAGTTTCAAACACATTACAAAAATTTCAGCTTGAACACATAAGTAAGTAGAAGAGAGGAAATGAAGTCCGTATAAAAACGAATGGAAAATAACATAAAACAATATTGTTTTGATTAATACGGACAGTCTTGTATTTTCATATAATGCGTAGTTTCTGCATCGTCAATACATAGTAACTTTCACCCTTTCCATTTTTGATTTTGAATAATTAGTTCTCTTATTTTCATTGACTCAATAAGTTGGGGAGTTTTATAGCCATTAAGAAAGGGGATATAGCATGAGCCTTTTCTTGTACAAAGCTATTAAGAAGAAGAATCCCCATATTAGCAGGGAAAGAGCCCCGCTTGTGGGTTTCTGTAACTTCAACTACTAGTTCGAATTTGAATAAGAGCTGATCCAGAACTTAAGTCGGCATTTCGGGCTTTGTAATGCGTTCTTTGTATGAGGAACAAAAGATACTGTTGACTTTTTTATCATTAAGAAAGCGGCAAACCCTTCTCAACGAGGCAGGTGGAAAAGGTACAAGCAATCACCCAATCAATCTCCCCTTCTTGTCAAGTATTCCCATACTGATTTTTATGCGATGCCGCCAGTACCCTGTTCGCAGCAAGTGAAACAGAGGGGTCTTTTGATTGTAAAACACTGAAGGCTACGCTTGCTCGAACATCCAATTCAAAAGCCCGCCCTCCCTCCTTGCCGATTCTAGAAAAAGTATATATGCCCATGATCTACTTGGTGTAGTGATGGATTTCATGGCCGACGTCTGAGTCACACTAACAATTATCGATGGCTCGAAAAGAAACTCGGGCTTAGGTGCTCTAGCCACGCTAAAATGGGGGAGAGCGATTGGATGATTGCTTTGCTTGTACCTTTTCCACCTACCACGTTGTGAAGGATTAGCTGTTTTCTTAGTGATAAAAAAGTCAAGAGTCTCTTTGGCGTGTGCAACATTTGCCAGTTGGCTATTATGTAAAGATAGGTTTGAACTTCTTAATTTTGTTTGAGATTTGGACCTGAGCAAGTCCTTAAAAAGTTTTATCCAGACCTCGGGATGAGAAAATAAGAAAGTATTCTAGTCCTCCCACAGGAAGAAAAACAAACTTGAGGGACACAGGGGGTGAGTAGGTAGACCGGTTGTCGGATTGTTAAACAAGGCAATGTTAACAGGTCGGAACCCAAACCAAATCAAGAAAAATCAATTTTGGATTTTGGATTGAGAATTTCTCAATTGATAAATTCGATTTGGGCATCAAATTCAAGTTGAACAGAAACCCTCATCATATCTATCATTCTTTTTTTCCAAACATGAGCCATGATTTTCTCAATTGAAAATCACAGAGGATGTTATAGTGCCCGGACATTGGGGCCGACCCCATGATGACATGTATGTCATTTCTCGGACGACTCAATTGATGCGAGGAACGAAAGCACATCTTGACCATCTTTCTTCTATTTGCTCTCTTTCGGTGTGAGCTTGACCAACCAATTTTCAACCACCACCTCCTATGGATCTGGATTTGCTTGTTTTTGAGATTAGAGAGGACAAAAGTGGGCCTTCATTCGAATGGCATCCTCCACTTACTCTCAGATATTATTCTTGTAAAAGATAGATCTTTGTCTTATTTTGAGAGGGCTTTACATTTCCAGAAATTTGTATGACCTAAGCAGTAAGCACTTGTTTCTTTTCCTTCCTCTGTAGTTCACTTATTGCCTTTTGGATTATTCTATACAGATGTGAGGAAAAAGATTCTGAAAGTCAAAAGCAGCATCCGCATTATGTTTGGAAGTTCTTACAAGTAAATCAATAGAGGGGGAAATTGCACAAAATCTCTGCTAACTTTGAGAGAAGTGTGTATTCACCCCCGAGCTTTAATTATGACACATTAATCTCTTGGACTTTCATTTCGTTATACCCCACGGGTGAGAACCCAGCTTAGATTGCATCGCCTCATCACTCACATTACCACAGTATGTGAAATGTTCACACTTTACTTTGCACATAACTATAAATCATTAATTAAAACTCAAAAGAAAAGAAGATTTTGTTCAAATTTCATTGATTGCTTTTTCCAGTATATTTAGACCATAAATTTTCAAAACTTTTCCTACGTGATATTTTCCAAAATCAAAACATGAAATTCTTTCCAGCTCTTCGTTTTAGTAACCGAATAGATTTTCAAAGCTTCATTTACTTAACATATTTCCAAGCGTTTTGGAAGTTTTTCAACGTTAAAATTTTTAAGTTCATTGCTGTGAACCATTTTGATCCAAGTAACTCTTTTCCAAAAGTTGACTTGTGATTCTTCCCCTCATTAGCATAATCATTTTGATCCATGTATATATTTGCACGCTATTCAGCACGTTGCAAAATACCAACACACATGGCGCATGGAGTCATGCCGGGGCGAAAAATGACGAAGGAGTTTCACCTGATTAGGTCCCTTGAAAACCAAAAATTGAATGAAATATTTTGGAAACTTATTTGATGATAACATTAATAGAAGAATGTGGTATCGAAAAGGTATTGTGTGGATGTTAACCCCTCCTCGCGCGTAACCGAACCCCTGAACCAAAGTTTTCTCCTTCACAAGTACACCTAGGTATCTAATCAGCCTAGCTTTTTTTTTTTTTGCTTACTCCATCTTTTATTTTTAAAAACCCTGATTTTACCCAAAAAAAAATTAAGGAAATCCAAAGCCCTGACGTGGCAGCACTTCTATTTTTGAGACCCTCAATTCTCTGGATGGAAGGAGGGTGCTAGTGCTACAACAGAATTCGAGTATAAAAGCGTAATTTCCTTCAATAAATGAGATGAAAATACGCATTTATCTCTTAAATGTCACGTGCATTACACATGCGAACAAAAAACATAACGTAAGGCTTATGACCGCAACAAAACGAAAGTTCAAGGGAGTCATATAATATTTGAAAAAACTTAGCGGTAAACGTATAATATCCCCAAAAGTTTATGTGAGTTTTATGTAATTTTTCCTAATATAAAGATGGTGAGAAAGTGTGAGTGGAGTATTTTCGTTTGCCTGGGAGAAAGAAAAAAGATGGATAGAAGACTTTATGAGGTCAAAACAAGGCATAAGAGCATCAGAAAAAAAGAAAATCTAAGATCAACTACATAAATTAAGAAAGCGTATCCTCTCATTTTATTCTAGAAATCAGGAGAGATCGAATTTTGTGATGACAAATAATTTAATTGGGCGGGACTCCAACAATCCTTGACCATTTCCTTTCTCCTCAACTTTTCTCTCTTTCAACCCCATTGAAAAAAGTAAGTTACATTAATCACGCACTACACGCAAATAGTTACGAACGCAAACATAATTATAGTTAAATTGAAATTGTTACCAATGGAGAGTTAAAAACCGGACATGTGTGAGAATTAGAATGCTCGAATAAGTTTAGTCCTCCGGATTTATCGAGTACAAACACTTCTATATTTAAATCAGTCACTTGAATTTTTAGTAGTATCTTATCTAGCTTATAAGGTAATTTAGATGCTTAATGAACTCTCAAGTTTTATTAATCTAAGGTGGGCTTACTAGTCGGTCGAAAAAAAATATCAAGAGAATCTTTTCTCTAAAAAAAATTCTCCGCATGACATACTACAATTTTTTTGGTAAGACTTTGTTATATATCCGGTTGATGTCCTATAAGAATTGGGAAATAAAA